TCGCACGGGTGAAAATCTAGTTGCCATGAGAAATGAAGAAAGAAAGTATTATTGGCTGGAATACTGATGCCATGTTGATAGTGCTGGTATGAGGCGGTAATAGATGAATTGTTCAGCTTATGTTTATTAATGATATGTAGTGCATATATAGTACATTCATTAGGATGCAACTAATGAAATATACATTATTGAGGCATACCCCAATAATAATTCTTGTCTAGAAGAGAAGGCATAAAATATAATAATGGAAATAATACAAATAATATAAATACGTAACCTTTTTTTTTATTATTTTTTTTATTTTTGGTGGGGTGCGCCGGGCCATGGTAGCAGTGCAACACCAAGGCGACGCCCGAAGACCCAAACAGCAAGCTGCCTTAGCGGGCCTTCCCCCTTAAAAAATTGAGTTAATATCGTGTGGGCAGTGGGCTAATAACCCACATATCAGATATAAATACGTAACCTTTATTTATATGATGTCATGTGCTAGTTTCATACATGAAAAAATAAAAAACAAGCCATAGATAGATGGAAATCAAACCTGCAGCACCCTGATATTTTCGCCCCTCATACATGCAGCACCCACTCTATCAAGGCATGATGTTGGTAAATATATTGTTTTTATATGTAGTTATTACTTATTTCGGGTAATATAGAGTGAAAAAATCACACTATCTTATTCAATAATAAGAACAAATAATAACTATTAGGAAGTCACCAACAACATACTCAAAATTTGAAAAATGGCACTACACAAATCGTTCAACATATTAAAGTAACCAATTAATTCATCATCTAAAAAAATGTACCAAAAATTACTATTAAAATATTAAAAGTATGAGCATATCTACGTTACAAAGTTTTACGCATAGCACCACAACATATACCATAGTAACAATCAATATGTCCATCATCCAAAAAAAGAGTACCAAAAATTATAAATAAAAAAGAGTTCTCTAATATTTAAAATATGAGCATTCGCACGTGACAAACTTTACGCAAAGCATCACAAGTACATTCGGGAAGTTCATGTCATATTCACGTTTGCCACTATCTACACATAAAAAAAGTTGGTGTGAGAATATAACATATATATATATATATATATATATATATATATATACATATACATATATAGGGGAAAGATCAAGTACAAAGTGTGCTTATTGTGCAAATATTTGTACGATGCACCTTGACGTTATTTGCATTGCATATTGAGGTTCAATGTATTGCACATTATAAAGTCATAAAAATAACAGTTGCATATTAAGGTGTAACGAGTTGCACCCTAAAAAGTTGGGTTTTATTACAAAAATGTCACCTTGCCTTTATGTCCTTTGGATCAACTTATCGGACGGTCAAGATGAGTTTGTACTTTGTAAATTAAGAAGGCTTTGTATTTGATCTCTATTCTACATATATATATATATATATATATATACACACATATATATATATACATATATATATATATACATATATATATATATACATATATATATATATACATATATATATATATTACATATATGCAATTTAGGATATAAAAAAAGCAGCAAGATAACAAATGAAGTTGATTGTATGAAAAAAATATTTTTTACCTAAGCAAAGTAATATCGTACTATAAAAAATACAGCAAGTACACCTACTATATATGGTATATTGTTAAAATACCTTTAGAAATGAGATTTTAACAAGTGACTTCTATGATGGAGTGGTGTGAGTGTTGAGGGAATAGATCAAATGGCCCGGGTTCGATTCCCTCTGAGGACTATTGCTTTAAGAGTTAATTGTGATACGACGTGCATCATCTTATGAAAGATGATGCATATATTATAAATTGGTGATTTAATTCGAGTGCTGACATGGCACCCATATGTGGATGACAAGGCAAAAACTTCACTTATTTGAGAAATAACTTAAAAAGTACCATTGTTTGGGAATTAAGATTCGAAAGTACCCTCATTTGAAGAAAAAAAAACTCCATTATATTGGCATGTCGAACAAAAAAGGTGCATTATATATATCTACTTCAAGCTTTTCCAACTTCTCTTCAATAATAGATAACACATGATTATTTATTCACATAGTCATTGTGATCTCAAACGTGGCACTAGATTGAAGTTGGTGATGTTGGTCAATAAGTGTGCCTGGACATGAAAAATAGTGTCATGATAGAAATTAAAGTCTCATTGATTCTCTTTGGAGAATTAAGAACACTCAACAAGTGAAATTTTAACCTCAACAAATGAATATATCACTTACTCTTAGATGTTAGAACTCAAGTTCTCATGGTCCTTGTGATAACATTGAGGTAACTCATTTATCCTCAATGTTATCCCTTGTGATAACATTGAGGTTACTCAACTATCCTCCAACTTAATTCAGTTTTTCATTATCGTATGAAGCAGTTGCTATTGAGTATAACTTCATGCATGACTATGTCGAGGAGGCCTCTGCTTCATGTCTGTCATATGCTCCAAAGATCGACTATGTCCAGAAGGTCTCATTCATGTCTCTCCCATATGCTCCAAAGATCAATTTACTAATGTTGATACAAATACATTGATCAAGTCGCACACTCGCACTAGTTTATTTAGTGGTATGTTATCCAAGATTGGACTACTCACACGCATCGAAAGGAACATATTAGGGTGATATTTAGTACAAACTATATTATTATCTTCCATGAGAATCCTATTTGTATTTTACTATCTTTATTATATTAAGATGTACTTTTTATAATTCAAGTTGATCGGAAATGTTACTAAACCCACCCAACCCACCCTAGACGATTTAGTTCGTCCGACCCCGTCTGAATCAAACTAGATGGACGTTAGCGGGTTACGAAGACAAAGCAAAGTAAATAGTTTGATTTCAAAGAACCCGTTTAATTTGGTAACAGTAAATTTTATTGAATCGGCTGACATTCAGGTTGAGACAGCTGAATTGGTCGAATCTGCTTAATTATTAAAAACTTAAAATATAGTTTAATAGTAAAACGAAGAAAAACTTACACAAGAATTAGCTAAATTAGTTCTCTTCAACATTTTTGGCCAATTCGACCATAAAGTAACTCTAGCTTCACTTATTTTTATTATACACTACCGCACACTGAACAAAAATCATGTCATAAATAAACAAGTTGACAAGTAAGCCGAATATATGAATTACCAAACGGACTTAAAATATCACATTAGATTTATGGTTAAATAAAAGACAAAATATTCAGCATAGCCAAATTTTGGTAGGAGAAATAAAACATACTATATCCGTCCAATAATGTAAGATACATGTGGGTTTAGTGCGATTTATAAGAAAATAAAGAATAAAATAGTTGTTTTACAATTCGGACCTCCAAAAAAAGAAAGAGAAAGATGAGTAAACAAAATGTAAATAGTAACATCATAGATAAAGTGATAAAATGATAAAATATATTCGAGATAAAATGAAAAAGCTAGTAAAAAGTTAGTAAAGTTCAGGGAAAAAGTACAGAAAAAGTGCTTGTGGTTGGGCCCATTTTTAGATAGGGTAATGTGTTTCATTTTTTTTCCAAGTGGTTCGTGCTTTTGAATTCCGTTATCACAAGAGGGTCACGCCGTTAAAAACGCCTGAGAAACACGATTAATAGTAACTCCGATTTTCAAAAGCGACTGAAAATTGAAAGAAAAATACCAGAAGTTGCGCCTCAATAAGGCGACCGCTAGGCTATCTTTCTTGTTTGTTTCCAGCCACCCTTGCCAAGGTAGTTTGGAAGTCATCTTGACGAGACACACCTTCCTGTATTTTTCTTTTCATTTCTGGGCACTTTTGAAAACCGGAGTTATAATTAACCGTCTTTCTCAAGCGTTTATAATGGTGTGATCCTCTTGTGATAACGGAATTCAAACATATAAACCACTTTGATAAAAAACGAAATACATGACCCTATCTGAAAACGGACCAACCACAATATCTTTTCCGTACTTTTCCCAAAATTGAATTTAGGACAAACAAAAAGGGAAATGTATTTTGCAAAGTGGGGTGAAATGAGGATCAAATAAGGTGTAGGTACTACTACATACTCCGTATTAGACAAGATCAAACAGTCACAAAATCTTCTTGTCTCTTGACTTTCATCTTGACATATCAATGAACCAACGTACATCATTCAAATAAAATTTGAGCCCATATATTTGATGTAGTATTACAATTTACAAATATACCTTTTGGGCTTCGGCCCTATTGCACAAGCATAAGCGTAAGCATAACTGCGTAAATATTCTATTTAACTAAAAGAGTAAATATTGTAGCATAACAAAACAGAATTGAACATAGCATAAGAGAACTGAGTACTCCGTATATGATTAGGGATAGATGGGAATTGGGAACTGGCCGGCCCGACCCAGCCCGTGCCCAGTACTGTTTAGGCCCGGCCCGGCCCGCTAATGTATTGGCCCAGTCCTGGCCCGGTGGCTATAAGGCAGGTTTCTGGCTCGTTTCTTTGGGCCCGACCCGGCCGGTCTGAGGTCCGATTGCACTATTTTTTTTTACTTTATTGGTCAGCCCCGTCTCGACCCGGTATTGTATAGGCCCGAGCCCAACTAGTCCCTGCCTGTAGCCCGGCCCGACCCGGTCCCGGTCCACCCCTAGTACGATAGAGTTGATCTGATTAGAAAGGGACTGATATCAGATCACTTGCATGTTTAATCTCTTAAATTAATTAGTAAAACTTAATCACGTGAATACACTAGAACTTGTGACACTATAACGATACATAATCACTTGAGCTGCATACATATCCCAAAAGGACTGATCATGGTCTAAAATACAAGGTAGAATGTCCAGAGGGAATCCAATCTCTGAAGCAACATGACACCTAAAAAATAAAAATAGGAATTCAGAAATGATAATCGTAAAACACTTTGTACTAAAACAAAACTTCAAGAATTGCTTAGAAGTATTGCTTACTAAAATAGAACTTTGAGAATAGAGCATCTTAGTTAATGTAGCATTATGTTGGATGCTAGATGGCTCAAAAAGAGATGACACAAAAATTCTACGTGCTTTATGATACTTACATAAACCTGAATAAAGGCCTTGGTTAAAATATCAAGTTTACTTCTACATGACTGAGACACTGTTGGACATTTGGACAGCAATCTCACAGGTTACAGGATATTACTTTTACAGCATGTACAAAGCATTAACATCTTATTGGAAAAATGAGAGTTCACCCCGCCCCGCATGCATCTATACCATCTGGAAAGTTTACTTTTCCTAAATACAATTCCTTCTCTTTTAGAGAAAAAAACACCCAATTCTATGCTGAAGTTAGCAATACTCAATGCTCAGAGAGCATAAATCCTTTCCATGTCAGTGTCCGAGAAGTCATAGTGCTGCCATGAAGTGGAGACACTCCCACGCTTCTCCCTTTTCCTTATAGACCGTGTTCTTCTAGACTTACACACATAGTAAGTCATGGTCCCAAGAACGCCCACCATTATAGTCCCACCGACAAGTGTGACCAATATTGCGGCCCACCTATTCTTCCGTCCAACCACTATGTAAGATGATGCAATGAATGCCACCGATGTGCACACGGAAGCCAACCACATTAACTTGTTAATCACCTTCACCACTCTCTTCTCAGCTTTCGTCTCCCCTCTAACCAACGTGATTTGGACCACGACCACAGCAAGAGAGGTGAAGAGGGCAACAGCGTTGAAGATGAAGAAAATCTTGAAAGACGTACGCCTGACGACCACCGCCACCCCGTCATCATTGTCCCCACCGGGGACGGTGAAAATGGCGGCAAAGGCGACCGTTGCAAAAAGGACAGCAACGACAGTCACTGAATTTGTGGCATTGTTGATGCCTTCGCGATGGAGTTTTCTGATCTCTTTGGCGATTCCATGAACGTTTTTGTTCGTCCTCTTGGTTTGTTCAAGCTGGGTGTGGATGTCGTTCTTGATTTCAGTCACGGTTTTCCTCAGTTCATCTCTGGGTTGGTTTAGGTCATTGGCCCTCAAAGCACCGAAACGACATAGGCACTCCTTTATCTCGGAGGAATCCTCAGTGAGGGGAAGATCTTCAGCAATGTCAAGTGCTGTTTTATGATCTCTGGTGAGTGCATTGACATTCATGTCAGGCAAGCGAAGCAACTCGTTCACTATCTACAAGGGAAAAAAATCTAAACAATTATTCATAATAAACAAATAACCCTTCTGTTTCTCTAGAAAGTCAGGATGGTTAAGGTATGCTTGGATGTAGGAAAATACAAGGGAAATGATGAAAAATGTTAAACATTATTTACTTATGTCTGGTTCTACTTTGAGAAATGTAAAATAAAATGAAAAAGTTTGTCTTTCAATTTTGTTTTACATATATTTAGATTTCTTGGTCTTTATATTATATAAATAAAAAATTCGGAGAAATAAATAGCTATAACAACGTCAAACAATTATCTGTAATAAATTTATTGAGTTTGAGTCTTACTTCTATTCCCCCAAAACTGCTTTCCTCCCAAATTTCATGTTTATTTTCTTTCAGTAGTATTTTCATCTGGAAAAAGTCTCTCAGTGCTGTAGTACAAGGGTAAGGCTACGTACATCCGACCCCCTTACCCCACCATAGGTGGGAGCCTTTGTGGCAGTGGGGCAATGATGATGATGAGTATTTTCCAATACCCAAACAGACATTTAAAGATTAGGACAAGTTTGGTTTTCACTACTTATTCTCCATTCAAACAAGTACACTCTGCATACATGTTATAAGAAACAATAAGAGACAACATTTATCTAATTTGATTTTCCTTATAAGATAACCATCATCACCACCTTAATCCCAATTAGTGGGGTTAGTGGCACACAACATGTATGCCAAATTGAATACATTGATGGTAATTGAATCCGAAATTCCGAATTGTCTCTAGAAATACAAGGAAATGGTTCTTTCCAAACTACTCTCCTGACAACAAAGTGGAATTCCAAGCATTTGGGGGAGGGGATGGGGGTGGGGGGAATCAAATAGGAAGGAACTTATACCTCCACACGTTTTTTCCTGGTGGCCACATGTAACGCCGTATTCCCATCCTTGTCAGGAAGCATGACGATAGCTGCATCAGCATCAAGCAGTAGCTTCACCACATCACAGTTAACTCCTTTCACGGCCATGTGAAGTGCTGTCTGCCCCTTCTTGTCTGTCCTTCGTGCCAGTTGAGGATCTTTTTCAAGCAAGACCTTCACAACATCCACGTGCCCATGTCGGGCAGCTAAATGCAATGCATTCTTCCCATTGGATCTCAAAATCTCAACTAAGGTGCAATCCTTTGCAAGCAACTCATTGACCACAGATGTATGCCCTCTTGATGCCGCTGTTATAAGAGGCGTTGCATTTGAGGGTCCCACAGTTTTGCTTAGTTCGGGGTCATGATCCAATAACACTTGCACAATGGCTGCATTGAATGAATGAATATAAGCCTTTTGTGAATATAATTAAGATACTTATGCTAACACTTAAATGAAGCGGTTGAGTACTTGAGTGAGCTACGGGAGTCTTTGCAGTAGCTTTTAGGAAGCACTTTTGTTCTTTTTTTCTTTAAAAAAACTAAAATTAGTGTTTTAAATTAATGTTTTTTCATAACTTTAAGCACTTTAAAGCTAAACATTTGGAGCATAAGTGCATATAACTGTTTTTTCACATTTTCAAAATACCTTAACCAAATAAGTATATTTGTACCAAACACTCCGACTTCAGATATTACCACCTTTTAGCATTAAACACTTTCTGTATTATATCTAAAATAAATCACTTCTCATGAGTCATGCCCACAAAGAAATGCAAACACTGCCTATATTTGCTGAAGGTGTGGTTGAAATGTTTGAATTTCCTGAATGAAATAATTTATTTAGAGTATATTTAAATAATCTCTGTATTTTTAAAGTAAGTTAAGGAAAAAAATATCTAAGAATGAAGGAAAAGTTCCATTTCCATAATTCCATTTATAAAAGCCAAAAACGTGATCTCGGCAAAATCGATTGTCAGTCTATCATTACCAGCACACTCAACTAAGCTAGTGTTTGTAGAAAACTTTAAGTTAGTGTTTGGTAGAAAGTATGGTTCATAAGCAAAATGATCAGGCTACCAAACAAGCAGTCAATCTAAACAATGAGATCACTCCTAAGATAATTTTAAAAGTTTGCATTGAACAGCATTGAGCAGAAAGCCAGAAAGGTAACTTATGTTTACATGTGAAAATATTTAACAACCCAAAAAAGGAGCTCAAAATAATCAGAATCATAAATAATTACCATGGTGTCCCTGGCTTGCAGCAACGTGAAGAGGGTCAAGCAACGATTTATTCTTCTGAGTAAGAGTTTCTTTATTTGAGTACTTCAACAACTCCTTTACAACCTCAAGATTCCCCTTTTCAGCTGCCATGAACAATGCTGTCTCATCCAACTCATTTACCTCATTAACTACATACGCTCTTATCTCGGCCACCTCCTGTTCAAACTCAGCTCCACTCAGTGTGCCCATGATTTGGGACTCAATGTCATCAAGTATTCGCTTCACTAATGCCAGATCACCCTTTTGAGCTGCCAAATGAAGGGAAGTGTCGTTGTGCCTCCCGGTCACTTGCTTCACGTATTTCTTTTTCCCTGTTTGGTCAATTCTCTTCCCGGAATTGGAAAGAACAAGAGCCGGGGCTGTTGAAGATGGTGACGGGGTTGACGATGGCTCTGCTAAAGGATTCTGGTTGGCTATTGGACTGGAAAAACATTTCTCTATGTCTATCCCACCTTTTTTGTATATCAATTAATTGAAACTTGATTAGTTAAGCTGAAAAGTTTAATGAGAACCAGAACCCTAGCTATGCTTAGAATAATGCCTATCCAACCTTTTATATATATCAATTAACACTTAACTACTAATAACCCCAGAAGATGATTCTAGGTTTCACATTTAAGCGTACATTACAATTTGCAAGTATACAGTCCGAGAAATACTCATATTTCACTTATCATATTTAGACTATTATCCATAGAATAAATTCTGAAGCTAAATGCACAGCTTGATAACGAAATCAGCAAATCAAGGAAGGAACCCAAAATACAGAGAGTATAGAGTTATTGTGGAAGAGTTTGAAGTACCTTCATGAGGCGAAGCCATGATAAAGCTGAAGAAGAAACAAAGGGAGCACGAGGAAGCTGAATTTTGACCGGGAGAATTGGGAGCTTAGATTTGTGCTTATATTGACTACCAACGCCAAAGAACGTGTACAAGTCACCATTATTAGTGACAAATTCTAAGTTCCAAAATAATTATTTTGTGGATGGAAATCAATTGGGGAAGTTTCTTGATATATAAGTAAATATTTTCTTCCTCTAGTAAAAAGTGTTTGTCTTTAAAAAAGGTACTCTTTTAAAAAAGCACCTCTCAATTTTTGTCTTTAAAAAAACACTTATTTTTCCAAACACTACAACTTTTATTTTTTTCGGCTTCCGCGTAAAAAGTGTTTTTACTTTTTCTATTACACAAAAAGTACTTATTTTACAAACACTACCCACTTTTACTTTTCAAAATCATTTTTTTCTCAAACATTATTAACTTTTATTTGATCATTTCTCCCCATTTTATTAAAAAAAGCACTTTTTAAAAGCAGAAGTTGTTGCAAACAGACCCTTAGACTTTGTCAACACTCTATTTTTTTGTTTATTTAAAAAAAAATTGTCACTTTTCTTTTAAAACAATTAATAAGTAATTGTATTTGTTTTCCTTTCATCTGCACAAATATCAACCACACAATTTTTACTAATTTTAACTTTATATCCAACATTAAATTAGAAAACTTGGGTGGAATCCGAATTAGTGTATCTTAGAATTTAAGAACTTGAGTCGGTTTTTATTTTATAAAAATGAGTAATTATGTAGATTTAATTTACATCGTTTTACTTGTTTCATACTATAAATTTAGCTGCAGCTACAATTAATTAAATATGAAGAATGAAAAGTCATTGAAATGTGATTAGTTTTTAAAATTAGATTGAATACCTCCATCCAAACAATAAATTTATTGAAATTCCTTCTCTCCACCATCTATCAACACCACTAGAGGAAAAAATTATGAAATTTTCAAAATCTCACTATAGGTGATTGTTCAGAAAAGGTTACAATTTTTTTCTTTTTATAGTCAACGGTGACATGCATGTATTTTTACCAATAAGAGATACACTTTTGCTGTTAATCTTTGCACATTTAAATTTCATATATAAATATATACAATTTTGTCAGTGCCTATGTTTAAATCAATTATACAATTATTTCGCTACATATTTAATTAATCGAACAATTGTATATTTTTATTCTAACTTTAACATGAATATTTCCTTCCAATTGAATGTTTTTGCACATATTACATATACATACATACATTATCGAAAAGTAAAAAAAGAGAACACCGAACTAAAGCTACGCAAAAGAGGAAGGTTCCATGATGGAAGGTAGAGCATATTAATCTTTTAATAATTGTTTACTTGTATTCTTTTAAAGGCGAAATCCCAATCAAGGTACCACCGACCACCGTCCCCAAAGCATATGAAAATTAAATAATTTTTTGGTCGAGGAATATGATGTTTTACAGGAACAAAGAGATCAAAGAGTAGTCCCCCATTGGCTCAAGAAGCACATCTTTTCTACCAAATCTCAATTCTGACTCTCAACGGACACTTTTTTTATTCTTTTCGCAAGAATCAACGGTACTTATTATATTTTGATTTCACCCTTCTCATTCAACCGTGTTGGAATTTCAGAAATTGCCCTAAATAGGAGTAAAAACGTTTTGAAATTCCAAAATAGGAGTATCATGTTTTTTATTCCCTAAATAGGAGTAATCTGCCAAGTTTGGAAGAAAATGCCATGTTTAAAGCCTTGTAATGCCCAAACTTGGCAGAAATTTACTCCTATTTAGGGAATAAAAAACATGATACTCCTATTTTGGAATTTCAAAACGTTTTTACTCCTATTTAGGGAATTCTCTCTTGGAATTTTCATAATTGTATTGAGGGGCATCATTTAGGAGGTGAATTACGGGTTTCGTATCGGGACCCACTTTTATAGAAAGCCTCAAAATATTTAGTATGTAGTAGTTAGTACTTGTAAGTTGATTTTTCAGATGTATTGTTTCAAACTTTAAAAGGTTTATAACTTCTAATTGTTTAGTTTGTCTATTTTAAACATTAGAAAACAAACTTATATTTCATTAAAGGGAAAACTACCAAATAAATCCTTGAAACTTACATAAAAAGTGCAAATAACCCTTTTTATAGGAGGTTCTGTCCGGTCATCGCCATTTGGGGCGGTTTGCGGTGAGGTTTTTTGATGAATTTTTTTGAACATCTTCTACATTAAGTCTAATTTATCCGTACCAAATTTCAACTAAAAATTCAACCGGGAAGGCAATCAAATGATTTTCTGAAATATACTGCGTTGTTTAACTGCACAGTTATCTACAAAAATTCATTTGACTCCCTTACTGATTGAATTTTTAGTTGAAATTTGGTATAACTAAACTAGACTTCATGAATAAGATGCTCACAAAATTTCATTTTAAAATTCCACCGGGAATCGCCCCAAATGACGATGGCCGGACAGAGCCTCCAATAAAAGGGGTGATTTGCACTTTTTATGTAAGTTCGAGGACTTATTTGGTAGTTCTCCCTTCATTAAACTATCTAGTCGATTTGTATTTCTTTGTTAAGTTTTGTATTGTCTCGTGTTTTAGAGGGCCTCACTTCATCATTTAGAACCGAGGCCCCCAAATTGGTTAGATGACCATGATTGTATTATTTCAGAATATAATAACTACATATACGTGAGATTAAAAATAGAAGACCTTCATTAGGTGGAATTATTAGTGTGAATTTTGAAAATGGATCACCCTTTTCAATTAGTTGTTTTCGATGATTTGAATAATTTTGAAGTTAATTACACCACTTTAGATCCCGACTATTTTGCAACAAGCTTTTTAGCGGAAGTCTGTTACTACTGCCCAACCACAAAATATGTGTGAAATTTGTGATTGAGTACGTTATGCATAACTTTGAACAACTGTTCTTTGTTAAAAGTACTTTCATAAAATAAAAGTAAAAAACTATGACCTCCATAATACTTTTACTTAGGGGTGGACCGGTTCCGGTTCAGGCCCGGTTCGGGCCTCGGTTCAGAAAAATGAGGCCCGAGCCCGAACCGGTTCCAGGTCCGGTTCCGGGCCAGACCGGGCCGGGCCACCCGGATTTTTAATTTTTTTTTCTTCTTCTCTTATTTAACCCCCTACCCCTCCCCCTCCACCCCAAACCACCTCAAATGGCCCAAAATACCTAATCCAATCCAAAACTTAAAAAAATTTCAAAACAAAAAAAATTAAATTCCGGCCCGAACCGGGCCCGGCCGGGCCGGGCCGGTTCAATAAACTGGAGGCCCGGGCCCGGACCGCTATACCACCGGGCCGGGTGGCCCGAACCGGGCACAAACCGGTTCACCGGGCCGGTCCGGGCCCGCACAGTAGCGGGCCGGTCCGGTTCCGGGCCGGTTGGCCCGGCCCGAGTCCATCCCTACTTTTACTAACCAAAATCATGATCTAAATTTTATAAAATGACAATTTTTTTGGGACGGGGTAGTATTAGACATGTTATCATTTGTGTCAACATACGTATTTGATGTTCCTTCATACGTAGTATGAAAGAAGACCCAAAAATAAAATAAAATAAAATAAATGCAAATCTACATATGCACTAGACCCAATTTTTTCAGTTTAATTTCATAATAAAAAGTATCATTATTTTACCATTTGTCCATTGTGAGAAATATACCTATCTAGTAAATATCTTACTACTGATGGTTCTTATACGATCTAATATGAGACCTTCATATGATAATACATGAGATGTGAAATGAAAGGTACAATAAAGGAATATCAAGAGCAAGATAAAAGTCACTAATATTTAAGATAATTATTTTTATTGTTCAAGGGAAAATAACAACTTATTAAGTATTAATCCTTGTATTTGATATGCTTGATTGTATCCAAACAACATCACAATCACAATCATTTTTTGGGTTGTGGGATTGAACAAGAAGATCAATAAACTATTAATTACAAATTTTGAATAATAAACCTTTGTAACTAAACTTTAAATATGCATTGTATTATTTTGCACCGTGGACAATCTTGCCACTTGCAATACAAAAGTAACTCATCAAAATCCTATGAGCTCATATTTGAATACTCTTTTTTAAGTGAACACAAGTTGTTAATTTATCAAATGTTAATCAATAAATATAATAGTATCACATCTATCACATTTTATGTTTCTTGTTTTGGTTTAGCACAATCGCTAATTAAAAAAGTAGTTAATAAATATCAATGAAAATATAGAGTGGTAAAAGATAGAAAGTAGGATGAATACACTTATCCTGCGCGTTGGCAGCGAAAAATCACTCTCCTTTTTATTTTTGAATGAAAAAATCACTATCCTTTATGAAATTGTATTTGCCCCACTGAAGGTAAAACAATCATTGGAGGCGTTTTAAAACAGCTGCGCGCGACACTGTTCACAAGGGCCCTCTTCTCGTGCTCGCTCAATACTTTTTTTATAACTATGATTTGTGAAACTGTATTTTTCACAAACCCAATATATTTGTCTATGTTGTTTTGTCAAGTATTTAAGAGTTTTCACTTTTACAAGAATGTATCCAATTTTGTTTATTTAACTTTTAGGTTGATTATTTGAACGTAGAAAGAATATAGATTAAGAGCCCGTTAATAGAAGTATAAATAATTACACTAAAAATGAATGGGGAAATGTCAACTACCATTACGTATTATTATTTGAAATATTAATTATGATGAGAAAATACATATGGGTAATATAGCAAAAATTACACACACCATTCATGAAAAATACAAGTATAATAATATGAGAAATTTGCTCCTAATAGGACCAAATCATAGCTCTTTTACAAAAATAATACCTACTAATGTTTTTTCCATTCATATTACTTATTTAGTTCTATAAATAGGAAACCTATTTCTAACTTTCCAAATTTGCCCTTCAGGCCAAAAAAACTTCCGCCAACCTAGCTTCTTCCGCAGGTAGCCCATCTTTCATGTTGCCGTTGCCAGACGCCGTCGCCGTTGCCGAACCTCGTCGCTGCCGTTGCCAGACGCCGCCGACGGTGCCGGATCTGCCATACTCTGATTTTGGGTCCGATTTGGGGAACGATTGGGGACCGCCGCTGCAGGTGGGGTCCGATTTGGGGCCGCTGTTGTTGGGGTCCGATTTGGGGCCGCCG